CCTCCCTCCTCCCTCCCTCCCTCCCTTTTCCTCCCTCCCTCTTCCTTCTTCCTCCCTCCCTCCCTCCCTTCCTTCCTTTTTCCATTCTTGGGGATGGAGCCCAGGGAAGCTCTACCCCTGAGCCACATCCCAGCCCCTTCTATGTTTTATTCTGCGACAGGGTCTAAGTGGCCCCAGACCTGGAACTTGCCACCCCCCTGCACAGCCCCTGAGTACTGGGGTTCGTGAGCCCTGCACCGGGCTTCGAGGCCTTTCCTGGCTGCCCTCACTCAGTCATGTTTGCTCCCTCACTGTCCCGGGAGGATGCCAGCCTGCGTGTGCGTGTTCCTGTCCCGTGTGACTTGAGCCCACTACGTACCCCTGGGCCTCGGTCTCAGCCTCACATTAGGTGGCTGTCAGGGATGTGGGCTTCCCCAGGGGCAGGTCCCCCAGAGGTGGCTCCCAAGCTAGCGTTGGAGGGAGGGATGGTGGCCACGGCATCATCAGGCGAGCGACCCAGTGGGCCAGCCAACACACAGGGGCCGAAGACACATGGCATGGATGGTCGAAGCCAGACGGGGCTTCGGCGTGTAGCACCAGGACCAGAGACCCCGCCGCCACTCACCAGGCCATTTTGGAAGCTCAGTGGAGACCTCTGGCGCTGCCTGGCACGGGGAACTCTTGTCCTCTGGAGATGGGAAAGCCAGCGTCACTTAGAGTTTGGGGCGCTCCCAAGACTCCCCTCTCTCTGGGCTCCTGGTGGCCAGAGGCTCTGTCTTCTTTTTATTCTTTATTTTTAGTTGTAAGTGCATCTTTTATTTCATTTATTTCTGTGTGGGGCTGAGGATCAAACCCAGGGCCTCGCGMGTCCTAGGCACRTGCCCTACCACTGCGCCACCCCCAGGCCCTGGACAGCTGTACCTTTAAAGATGTCCCCAGTGTTTTGAGATTCCCAGTGTCCACATAGAAACCGGATCTCCAGCTTCGGGGACCTGGCCACACTGGGTCTGGTCCCTGCTGTTCGGGGATTCTCCACTGCCCTGCTGCCTGCATGGCGCCCCTCCCCCCTGGGGACCCTGGCCTCAGCCTCGCTGGCCATGAACATGACCGGCCAGCCCCGGCGGAGGTTCTGACGGGGGCCATGCTGAGGACGCTTCTTCCCCGGGCCTCAGCAGCCTCTGGGATGCTCACGGGCCCAGGGGTCCTTGCCTGTCCCATCTGGGCGGGCGGTCAGGGCCGGCTCGGGCATGCTGGGCAGGTCAGCTGCAGAGGGAGCGAAGGGGCTGGTGGAGCCTGGCCGGGCCGGGGACTTGGGGAGGCTGTGGACGGCAGGGCCGGTGGAAGGTGGTGCTGGGCTGGTCAGGGGCGTCTCACCTACATTGAAGGTGGAGAGGGGTGAGGGATCTATCCGGGAACCCACTTGGGCCGCCCCTGCCCCGAGGCAGGCGCTGGAGTCCGGCATGTCCGGGGASAAGAAGGGGGACAAGAAGGGGGACTTCCAAAGAGACAATTCAGGATGAGGCTAAGCCGAGCTCTGGGGCTCCTTCTAGATCCCGGAACCTTGGTGGCACAGGACCAGGAAGTGATGCCCTTGACTGGAGCAGCAGCTCCCTCCCGCCACCCCACCCATCCCCCAGCCCTGATGGGCCTTCCCTGGGCCTGTCCACCACCCCACAGCACGGCGGGCCCAGCAAGGACCGTTTCACAAGCCGATGGGAGAAAGCCGTGTAAGGATGTGCACCAGACAGTCCAGGTGGGCACACTGAAGGAGGGAAGCGCTGCGCTCCCGTGTGCACCTCTTCCTGTTTGGCAAGGTGACCCAGGGAGGGCAGAGGGCCACTCCCAGTCACACTCCAGCTGYTGCAGGGAGCTCCAAGTGAGGATGGAGCCCAGAAGGCACTGCACCACCCCCAGAGCCGGGGAGGACCAGGCAGGGCCCTCAGGGGAGCAGGTGGCCGGGGGCCAGGCCTCCCACACTCACCGTGGCAGATAAATATGCTGCACAGGCCGGTGCCGGCTCCYGAGATGGGCCAGAGCCCCTGGAGCAGCGTGGGCATCGTGGAGATGACCTGGATGGGCCCCGCAGGGAGGTGGAGGCAGCTCGCGGAGGCCGTGGGGGGAGGCTCTGCAAGAGGCAAAGGCGGGCAGTGGGCTCTCCCAGCCCCTGTCCCCGGGACTGTCCGGTGACGGTGAGGTTCTCATCGACCCTCCCAAAGGGCTCTGGTCTCCCTGAGAGCCGCAGCTGGCCTGTCTTTCAGGGGTAGGGACCAGGTGCTCATTGAGAAGGTGTCCAGGGTAGAGGACTGGCCAGTGACCCCCGGGTGGTGGAGATTCCCCCCAGGCCTCCCAGAGACGTGTTTCCTGCCCGGGAACGTGTTCCAGCAGGATGGAGATGGGACCCTGGGCAGGGGTGGGTGACACTGAGGGCACCCTGCCTGGCCTCTGCTCACCCACATCCCCGGGCGAAGCCCACCCTCCCTGTCCCCTACGTACCGGGCATCTGCACAGCTTTCTCCTGGTGGATCTGGCTGGACACTGGCTCCTGGTGGTACAGAGCAGCCGTCAGGCCAGGCGGGGTGACCGGGTCACTCACTGGTCCCACCAGGAAACTGCCGGTCACTATGGGCACAGCAGGGGCCTCGGCTGTGGGGAGGGGGCTGTGTTAGGGGGGGGRGCTGGTGGCTCCGGGAGAGCCCTGCCCGGGCTGGGAGGCATCTGGAGCCGGGGGACCTCCCCAGGCAGTTAGGGACACGCGGGTCCCKGCTGTGGTCGGGCTGGGCAGGCAGTTCCCGGTCCTCCAGGCTCTGGACCCTAGAGGCCCCCACTGAGATCTGGGAATAGTCTGTGGGCACTGGACCCCAACCTCAGGCTCTGCCCAGAGAAGGGCAGGGGTCACCGTGCGCCCGTCAGAGGGGACAGCGGCTAATCTCCATTTAATGAGGGTCCAGAGGGCAGGGGTCGACCCCGTGAGACTGGACGCTGTCTGAAGGCAGGGCCCCTGGAGCACCCGGGTCTTCACAGGGGCCTGGGGAGGAGGACCCACCTCCCATCCGCTCCCAGGGACAGAGACCACGTCCCATCGTCTTGCGGTCCCCGTGGGCAGGACCCCGTCTCCGTGAGCAGGGGGGGCTTTCTGAGGGACGGGACGGGGCCTCCCCCATCAGACAGGACCCCTCCCTCTCTTCCCTCCCGGGCTGGCCGCTGCCTTCCCCAGGGCAGCTGGGTGGAGGCAGGGGAGGGAGTGGAAGAGCCCTAGTGGGCGATGGAGAGCGGGCGAGGCGGTGCGGCGGGTGTCTCCCAGCAGCCCTCACACACAGGACGTGGGCCACGATGTCATGGTCTTGCTTGAATCCCACTYCCCCTCTCGCTAGCTGTGTGGGCTCGGGCAGGTGACTTCACCTCTCTGAACCTCAGTTGTCARTGCAGGTTTGCACGGGCACCTGCAGGGCCCCAGCGCCCCTGCCCCAGGATCCCCGGGGGCCGCCTGCCCACTCACCGAGCTTCCTGTGCTTTAGGTCGGCAGGGTGCTCTTCTGAGAGAGCTGCGGAGAGGACAAAGGACATCAGGCCCAGGGAGGTGTGGCCCCAGCCAGGACGGGGCTCGGAAACAGCAGCCTCGGGGGCCAGTCCCTCTCCGTCCTCTAAATGCACTGGTCCTGGTCCCTCAGCCTGAGCCAGATCCCATCTAGCGGAGCAGACAGGGAGGCGGTGGAGGGGGCAGGGCTGCAGGGGACAAGGCCTGGGTTTGAGGAGGGACATTCTAGAGAGAGGGGACAGGCAGGGCCAAGGCCCTGAGGCTGGGGAGGCCTCGGGCCTCAGGTGGAGAGAAGCAGGGTCTGGCCTGTGGTAGCTCCTGGTGAGCTGGGAGCTGGAGTGTCCTGGAGGGTCTACCAGGGGCGAAATGACCAGATCTGCATTCGAAAAGTGACCATGGGGCCTGCGACCCCAGCGGCTCYGGAGGCTGAGGCAGGAGGATCGCAAGTTCAAAGCCAGCCTCAGCAACTTAGCGAGGCCCCAAGCAACTCAGAGAGACCCTGACTCTMACAAAATGTTTAAAAAGGCTGGGGACGTGGCTCAGTAGCTGAGCACGGCTGGGTTCAACTCTGGCACCCCCCAAAAAGAAAAGAGAGGCTCAGAGAGGTGCAGGCACTTGGCCCAGGTCACACAGCACAGCAGATTCAGGCCTCCACCCAGTTCTGCCAAGGTCAGGTGCAGAGACCTCCCTCGAACATCAGGTGACCACTCAGGGCAAGAGAAGCCAGGACCTGAGGGGCCTGGGGAATGGTAATCAAAACAGCCGGGGGCAGAACCGGGGAGGAGGGAGGCGGTTGGTCACCTGGGCCATCTGCTTCCTCCCGGTCGGCAGTGAGCTGTGTGGAGGGACAGGTGGCAGGGACCCCAGGCCCAGGTGGGGCAGGTGGGGCTTAACCGGGGAAGCTGGTGGGAGCCACAGCAGGTTCTGGAGCCACGGAGGGGCCAGGAAGGGGCTCACTCACGTCTTTTCTGGCTCCTTGGCCCTGGTTCTGCMGGCACCTCCAGGCCCTCGCCGAGCACCCCGTCCAGTCCTATGTGTTCCACTTGAAAGAAGCAGAGACCAGTTCTCACGGTCAGCGGAGGCCCAGGCAGCCTCCCGTCCTCCACTGGGGAGGCTCAGGAATGTGCTGCCTCCCGGGACAGGACCCTCCCCACTTACTGAAGAGGTCCCTGCTCAGGCCCTCCAGCTGCGAGTCCTGGAACACGTACTGGTCCAGTTCCGCTGGCCAGGCAAGGAGAGGCACGGTCAGCAGAGCTCACGGAGGGCCACCACGTGTGAAGCCTGGGGCTGGCCGCCAGAGGCCTGTGACCCTGGGCCTGGCACACAGTGGGGACTCCACAGACGTCGCTGAACTTTTGAACGATGGGGTGGATGACCACTGAGGCTTCCTGGCCCTAACCGGAGCCCAGGAGGCCGACGTGCCCAGGAGCCTCCCGGCTGCCACCGGTGGCCCAGGCAGGGGGAAGAGTYGGCCACCACGCCACCTCTCCAGTGGCCCTGCTCGCTGGACAACCTTGGGCCAGTGTCTTAACCTCTCTGGGCCCCCATTCCATCCTGTGTATGGGGCCTGAATGATGCCTGTGATGGTGAAGATAGAAGCGTGTGTTTGAAGTGTTGAACACAGTAACAGTATACAGTAGGCGTCCCTACATGCTGGCAGAGCAGATGAAGTGGTACCTGGCTGAGAGCCAACGGGAAGAGAGTTTTCGTGGAAGACAGAGAGAGGAGGGCGGGCCACCAGGGAGGGGGCCATGGGGGGGCCATCGGGGGGGCCCCAGGAGGGGACAGTGTGTGCGGGGGGAGGGGTCTCCTGGGTGGTGGGACGCTGAGGAACGGCCTTCGGGGTGCATGGAGGTTCTGTGGGGGGAAAGGTTGGACCTGACCGTGGAGGCGGAGGGGAGCCACAGAGGACTCTGGAGCTGAGACTCAGAACCAGGGCGGCCACCAGGGAGCTGGAGGCTGTGAGTGCCCACTTGGAGGAGCAGAGCCCTCCCACCCGCCATCTTCACCCGCTCTGCACCCAGGAGGCCGGGCGAGGCGCCGGGGCCAGGAGGATCGGGTGGCAGTGAGGGCTCAGCCACCCCCCGCCTGCTCAGGCAGCGCCCACTTCCTCTGCTGACGCCCCAGGACCAAAGCCCCCAGATCCCYGGCGAGGCCCGGGTCCCTAGTTGCTGCCCCAATTGTGGCAAATGTGGATGCCACCGACTCTGGCTTCCACCACGGGTCCCCAGGGAGGGAGGGGCCGGCAGGCTCCTGGGTGGTTCGTCTGAGTCACCCAGTTACCGCTCCTCTTCATCCTGCCTCTGTGGGATAGTGGCTCATCTGCTCTGGTGGAAACTGGTGACATCCCTGCCCAACAGGCCTCCTGAGAGGCGTGGTTCCCGGGTTGTCAGGTAAAGGGCCACTGAGAACAGTTGTGCAGGTTGTTGGCTGCACAAGTATGCCCAGCCAAGAGGACCAAGAGGGGCAGAAACCCAAACTGGCCTGTGCTGCCAACCTCTGCTTCCGGGTAGGGCTGCACCGTCCAGAGGGGACCTCTTCTCTATTCAGCGAAGCCTCTTAGGACGAGGGGTGACCCTGGTGGGAAGGGGTCCTCCACCCGTCCTCCTCTTTGCCCCCAAATCCACAGCAGCGGTGACAGCTGCGTCTCTCCTGCGAGAGTCCCGCCTGTGTCTGAAAGCTGTGCCTCTGCCGCCGCCGCGCATCAGCTTCTCAAAACCTTGGCCAGTGTCCCCCTCAGACTCTGTTTTTGTGGTTGACAACGGGGACTTTGAAGTGAGGAAGACCTGGGTTAGAAGGCCAGACCTACCCACTGCCATCTCTAGCGCAGCCTCCAGCAGGTCCCTTCCGTCCCTGAACCTCACCGTCCTCGCCTGTCAAAGGCGACTCTGACCTGCAGCCTTTGCTGTGGGCAGGCGCCCTGCGATGGTGCGCTACACCAGCGACGGGCCATGGCCCCCCGTAGCAAGAGCTGGGGAGGGGAGGAGGGGAAGGAGGTGTGGCTGGGATTGATGTGGAGGGAAGAGGGGCCAGAGCCAGAGAGGGCGGRGGACTGGGGGTGAAGGTGAGCTTGTCTGCCCGGGGCCACTGGCAGGGCCTCCTTCCTCCCTGGGTGTCCCCTCCTCAGCCTTTGCCCCCCTCCTTTCTGCGGCGGGGGGGGGCTGAGAGAGCGAAGGAGCAGACAGAACGCTGTCCCTGCATGTCCCTCTCTGGGCTCAGGACGGTCCTCACCGATATTGGCATACGCCTCCCGGGTCTCCTCGTCCCCTTCCATGTCACACAGCARCCTGCTGAACTGGTCGCAGTTGATGGTGTCCGTGTCGGGCTCTGGGAGGAGAAGACCCGGGATGAAGCGGGAGATGGCTGCGCAGAGGGTGGGCGAGGCCGGGAGGCCCGGAGGCCGGGAGGCCGGCGGGAGGGAGCTGTCCGCGGTGCTGACCGGCCTCCGCCTGCCCGTCTGCGCGGCTGGGGGGACCGCCCACCTGAGCAGGGCTCGGCCTCCTCCTCCGCGGCCAGGTCCATCTGGTCGTAGAAGTGGTAGAGGTGCAGGGGGTCGGCGCTGCTGTTGAGGAGCTCCAGGTAGCCGCCCTCCAGAGGCCCCGGGTCCACSGTGGCGCAGTGTCCACTGCCTGGGAGGGAAGACGCGCCCCTGTGAGGGYCGGGTGGTGGGAGCCAGGACTTCTCTGCTGAGGGAGGCGGGAGGCTGTGGAGCCTTAGGCAAGTCACTTGACCTCTCTGAGCGTCAGCTCTCCCTCGCTGGGCCTGGGAATGAGCCTCCTCCAGGACCAGCCAGGCCCGAAGGGGGCGGGACTCCGGGCTCCCTGCCAGACCTCCCCACCCTTCAGGCCAGGACTCACTGGGCCCTGGACCTCCTGGTGCCCCTACAGGCTTGGAAAGAGCTCAAGAGTCCCCCAATAGGAGTCTTCCCTCCACTTCCAACTCCAGAGGGGCGGGCGGTGGACGCTGGTCCACTGCCCAGGAGGGGCCTGCCAGCCGCCCAGCTCGGGGCAGAGAGCCCAGGCAGAGCCCAGGAGGGCCAGGCCTGGTCTGGTTGGTTTTAATGTCCCTCCAGGAGTGCAGAGGGTCGGAGGTGGGTGGCTGCCTCAGCCCATCAGCGGGTCAGTCACTTGAGGGACTAGCAACTATTTACCTATTTATCTGCTTATTTGGTGCTGGGGACTGAACCCAGGGCCTGTGCTCRCGAGGCGAGTCTCTACCACCTGAGCCCTCCCCAGCCCTCCCCAGCCCTTTTAAAAAAATACTTTACTAGACACAGGGTCTCACTGAGTTGCTAAGGGCCTCACTAAGTTGCTGAGGCTGGCTTTGAACTGGAGATCCTCCTGCCTCAGCCTCCCGAGCTGCTGGGATCACAGGCGTGTGCCACCCCCCAGTGGGACTAACAATCTAAAGGGACTACTGGGTGGGTGGGGCATGCTGGAGGGAGGGGGTCTCTGGGGACATGCCCTCAGGGATTATGTGTAGTCCCTGGCCCTGAGCTCTCCCTCCCTCCCTCCCTCCCTCCCCCTCTCCCTCCCCCTCTCCCTCCCCCTCTCCCTCTCTCCCTCTCTCTCCCTCTCTCCCTCTCCCTCTCCCTCTCCCTCTATCCCTCTCTCTCCCTCCCCCTCTCCCTCCCTCTCCCTCTGTCCCTTCTGTCCTGAGCAGAGCAGCGTCCCTCCACCAGGTCCTTCACCTCACCGTGGTGCTCTGCCTCACCAGGGGCTCAGGGCTGTGGACTCGGCCACTGAATCTGAGCCAAAAAACCCTCCCTCCCTGGGCTGCTCCTGTATCTTGGTGCCAGGGTCAAAGAGCAGGAACACAGGCCCTTCCCCAGCCAAGCCCATTCCTGGGCACGAGGCGTGGCCAGAGCTCCCGGGTGCCCTCTGAGTTCCAGGCGTCAAGTGACAGGATCTCCTAACTTTGTCCCCTGTGAGCTGACTCGCATCCGCCATATTCACTCCTATTGTTAGAGGGACGGGGGGTGAGCTGGACGCAGCCTGGCAGCCTGGGCCCGGGGAAGGTGTGGGCGGCAGGGCAGTTGAGTGGCCGAGTGACTGGTCGAGGGCCGTATTGTGAGAAGGTCCTCCTTGGACTGCCCTGGCCCTGGGCTCCCACCTGCCCAGCCAGGYGGAGGGGCATTCCTGCTCCCCTGCCACCCCAGTCCTTGGGGTCCATCTCCACCCACCCCCACTGCACGGCAGGCTTTAGAGGTGTGCCAACCTGGCTTCTGTCCCCTGAGGGACACTGAGTTTTACCAGAAAAAACCACAACAGGTTTGGGCAGCTTCTCTGCTCACCAGGGACAGTCCCTCCTGCTGGGAGTCCGGCTCGGGCTCTGCGGTGCCCGTTCCCTCACACACCCAGCTCTGGAATCAGCCTCCTCACACCCGCTGTGCGGACGGGGACACCGAGGCTGGGGTGGCCTCTCGGTGCCACAGCACGGGGCTGCACCCTGAAGGGCCTCAGGAGGAAGAGGGGGCTCGGATGGCTACCCCCAGCTCCGCTGGCCACGAGCATGAGCAGTTCTGGCTGACCCTGGACTCCGCCCGCTGAGGAGGCCGTGGAAAAGCCCCAGACGGAGCTGACGGGGCTCGAGGTCAGCTCCAGCTCGGCCTGTGGTCTGGGGCTCAGTTCTCCACAGCAGGGCTGGGAGCCCACTCAGCTGGGCGTCGGGACGTGGAGCACCACCGCGGCTCCTCCCAGCGCCCCTGCTCCCGAACCTGACCGGCTGCTTCCGGAGGCCAGAAGGGGGTGGGAAACCCGGAGACCAGGGGAGCCCACCTACCCTGACCACCCCCCACACCGCGTCTCCATGGGGACAGAGGGGCACACGCCCCCTTGCTCTTTTATACCCAGCCCAGTGGTCTTCCAGATCAACCCAGAGGCGCCTCTCCAGTTCCCAGGGACCCCAAAGAGGCTTAAAGCACTTTCCCTGCCAACAAGCTGGGCAGGTTGATGTCTTAGAAGGAGATAAAACACATGACAGTTACGAGTGCGGGCTCCCRGGGGAATGTCCAGTCCACACTGTGTGACCTTGTGTAAGTGACTCAGCCTCTCTGAGCTCTGCCTTTGGACGGCACAGCACTCACTGCAGAGGGCTGCCATGACTTGCCTCAAGTGGTACATAGGGTAAGTGGCACTAAGATGTGTGCCCCCAAACTCACAGAGGTGACTCCTGACACCGTACAAATGACAAAATCTAGAGAGCCCGGAAATACCAGGTGTCTATCACGCAGAGAAAACATGCCTGGAACACAGATYGGTGACGCTGCCCCGAGAACACCGTGGCACCACTGAAACACCAGGACGCGCTGATCCCCCGGCCTGCAGTCGGTTCCTGGGTCGGACGTCACCAAGAGGTGCCCCACGAGAAGGCAGCGCACGTTGTACAGAAATACACACAAAGAAAAGGACCGTCCTCGACTGTGTTGGACCAGGCGCCCAGAGAGGGGAGAGGGAACCGCGTGGACCCAGGACTGGCGCATTAGGACTGCAYGGTGCAGCCAGCCAGCCCCAGAGGTAAAGTCTTCTGAAGTTTAAAAGAAAAAGACAGAAGTAAGCAGGCGTGGTAGCGCACACCTGTGACCCCAGCTACTCGGGAGGCCGAGGCAGGAGGATCATAAGTTGGAGGCCAGCCTCAGCAATTAGCGAGACCCCATCTCAAACACAGAATTAAATGACGTAAGAGGCCGTCACAAAGACGGGATGACCATTATCTTTAAGGAACAACCTGTGCTCTTGCTGCTCTGTAGGATGTCTGTGCCCCAGAGCCCACAGTCCTCTGGGGAGTGACGACAAGATGCTGGGCTTGGCCATGCACAGAGGGAGGCAGAGGCCATCCACAGGGAGGAAGCCCCCGCCGTCTGGCCAGAGCCTTGCCAGCCCAGCGTGGGCGTCCAGGGCAGGAGGAGACGGTGAAAACTGCTCGTTTCACTCGAGACTTTCACTTCCTGCTGGGTCTTGGGGAGGTCATGAGAGATGGAGGGGAACTCGGGCCTGTGGCAACACCGGTGTGTGTGTGTGTGTGTGTGTGTGTGTGTGACGGGGCAGGAGGCCAGACCAGCTTACACAGGAGGGTCTGAAAATATTGCTGTTGTTGGCCCTGGAATGCCACTCTGAACTGCAGGCTCCTCATCTGTGCTCCTGGGACTTGGTGTGAAGCAGGTTTCAGAAGTGATGGCTGAATCAGGTCTGAAGGCCTAGAGGTTTCCCAAGCCAATATGAGTGTGTGTGTGCGTGTGTGTGTGTGCGTGTGTGTGTGCGTGTGAGAGAGAGAGAGAGAGAGAGAGAGAGAGAGAGAGAGAGAGAGAGAGAGAGAGAATCACCACGACTCAATACGGAGCAGAGAACTCATTGCTGCCCCCGGTCCCCCTGTCCCCGAAGGCCTCCTGCCCGGCCGGATTTCACACACTTGTGGCCCCTTTGACACAGGCTGGCAGCCCTCAGCTCGGAGACCCCCGGAAGTCCCTTCTAGCTTGGCCTGGCTACAAGGCGATGGCTTGAAGGACCGAGTGGGGGAAGGAGACGGGATTAGGCTCCTCCCTGTCTGGTCCCGGCATCAGGAGGACAGGAGGGAGGGCCCTCAGGGTGCTGCCCTGAGCCCCTGACCTGGCCTGGCCGTTCTGCCAGGGACACAGCAGGAAGTGCCCAAGAGGGCCCTGGGGTGCCTCCCGCTCTGCTGCCGGCTCAGGCTGAAGGCGGTCAGTGCCCAGAGTCACCCCATCGGGCCAGCTGGCGGCCGATTCCACCTCCCCAGGCCAGCGCCCTCGAGAGCCCTGGCTTCCCACCGCAGCTCCCCAGCCCTGCTGGACCTGGGCCAAGAGAATGTGGYGGGACGAAGTGACCTCGAAGCAGGGAGCCGGGATAGCTGGAGGTAGGCTGCAGGCTCTGGCCCAATCCCAGCCCCTCTCCACGGCAGGGGCCTTCCACAGTGGCCTGGGTGTGTGTGCRGGGGTCACCTCGGGAATCCCAAGGCCTGACAGCTGGGCCTGGCTCTGCCTCCGACAGGCTGTGTGACCCTGGGCAAGTCCCTTCCCCTCTCTGGTCCTCAGCATCCTGTATGCTAAATAAACTGGGCTCCACTAAGCCTGAGGACCAGTGGGCGGCCCACGGAGGCCATGGAGCGTGGTGGCCAGGGGCCATGAGCAGGTGGGGCGTRGGGACGAACAGGACAGAGACGCTGCTGCTTCTGCAGTCGCCACTGTGGCCACAAGCTGGGGCACACTCGTCCCGACCCCCGGAATGCACAAGAGTGGACCCTGATGCAGACAGTGGACCTGGGGAGAAGGACGGTCCATGCTGGTTCACTATGAGACTGTCCCAGCGGGTGGGGACACCAGGGCCATCAGTGTCACTGTGAGCGTGAAACTCTGCTAGAGAAATAAAATAAAATGAAACACAGAGTCCTTCCCCGACCCCAGGTCCCAGGCCCCGGGTCACCCCTCCTCTGGTGCTGGCGGCYGTGTCTCAGAGTCCATGCGCCGCGCACTTACCCCCCATGTCCCAGCCAGAGAGCGCAGGGGGCTGTGGGCTTGGGAGAGGACGCAGGGTGGGGCCCTCGCGGTGGCTTGATGAAAAGAGGAGGAGGGACCGGGCCAGCTCCCTTGCTCTGTCCTGCCACCTGAAGTCCCTGCCCCTGCGCCTCGGCCCTCACCTCCTCCTGCGCTGGGTCCTGCTCCTGGACTTCCCGCCGCAGAACCAGGAGCCCAACCTGCGCTCCTCCAATCACCTGCCCTGCCAAGGGCAGCTCTTCAACAGAGAGGGACCAGGATGCCACCTCTGAGGACGGGCCCATGCCACCTACAGAGTGTGCTGTCCTGCCTCCGTCTGGGACAGCCCCGAACGCTTCCCAGCTCCCTGTGGCCTCCCTGAGACCTCCGGAGGGACTGCGGGGTGGTCCAGCCCTCCCTCTGCCCAGTTCTCCTCCCCTTCCCCCTGTGAGGGACCCCGGGGGCCTCCTGGGTGGGCCTCCATCTCCAAGCGTGTGTGAGTGTGTGTGTGTGYGYGCGTGTGTGCATGTGTGTGTGCATGTGTGTGCGTGTGTGCACGTGTGTGCACGTGTGTGCGTGCGCATGCGTGTGAGTGTGTGCGTGTGTGCGCGTGCGTGTGTGTGCCGAGAGCAAGCTGAAATCATCTAAAACACCACAAAACAACACCCACGCCCCCTTCTCTGGGCGCTCATTGAGGACACCCCCCTCCCAGAGACTTGGAAAACCTTGGAACCCAGAGGAGGAGGCTCTGGATTCTGCAGGAGCCTGTGAATGGCCGCTGCTGGGGCTGAGGAGCCAAGGTCCCCGCTGAGGGAGGAGACAGCTCCGTGGGCCCCGGGGAGCGAGGAGCACTCGGACCCTCGTCCAGAACACAGGTGGCCCAGAGAGCCCTCCCGCAGGTGTCCCTCCTCCACCTGGAAAGGTGGGCAGCAGGTTTCTCCTGGACCCAGTCCAGGGGCAGGGAGAGGAAGGAGGAGCCTGAGCTGCCGTTGGCCGAGCCACGCCCCAGGTTCCAGTCCTGACCCGCCAGGCCCCAACACAGCGCGTGGCTGGTGAGCCAGGGCGGCTGCTGTGACTGAGTCTCCGGAGGTCCCACCCCCACTCTTGCCTGTGGTGATTCTGAGCCTTAGGGACGGTGCATTTCCAAGGTGGCCTGAGTTCCACCACCAGCCCCCCCAGGGAGTCCACAGGTCTGCTCCTCCCACTGAACCTCCCAGACCCCTCATCCCTCCCGCGCCCACTTCTGCTCAACCAGAAACTCTTCAACCAGAAGTGACATTCCCTGAATTCTTCTGGTTTTCTTCCTGAAAGTTTCTCTTCCCTGGTTCTGGGGCAGGCCCTGGCTCGATGACAGGGTCAGGTAAGGGAAAGAAGCAGGGAACAGAGACACACCCTGGGTGACCCACGGCCAGACAAGCCTAGAGGACGCACATCACAGAAGCAGAAAGGACAAGAGGAGCCACCCGGTCCCGGGAGTGGGGATGCAGAGACGCTGCTTCAGGGGACAGTTTCAGCTGGGACCGTKGAGAAGTCAGGTCGCACACCTGGGCGCCTGGAGGACTACCGGGATCCTGCGCCTGAAATGGCTACAGTGGCCAATCCTTCCCCCAACTCTGCAAAAAGAAACTATCTGCTACCTCAAATGGAAACAGCAACAATGTCACTTGCATTTACAACAATGTCATCCAAATCATGCCAGCTTCCCCATGGCGTGTTAAAAAGGAACCTTAGCACGTGCTGGAGGCCTGGGAGGGTGCCCACAGCTAAACTGCCCATGTCCCCCTCCTCGAGGACCAGTACAACCAGGACCTCCTTGGGAACTGTCTTTGGAGCCCTAGTCACGGGCGTCCCTGGCTTTGGAAGCCCCCCTCCTGCCCATGATTTCTGCAGGTGAGCCGTGGAGAGGGAAGCCACCGGTCGTCAGGGTGACTGAAGGCGAGTCTGAGGACCAAGTGTAGAAGCTTCTCCCCTCCCTCGGCCACTCCCGATCGCCCGAGGTGCCCCAGGGCCCTGGCGTGGCATCCTCTGGACAGTACTTGTCCAGGGGCCCAGGTGCTGTGCTCTTGAGACCTGCCCTCGGCTGGACTCTGCTGTGTCCACCGGTCTCCCCTTGACAGGAGCTCTCTCCCGCTGGCCCGGCACTGGACTGAGCTCTCAGGAGGCCTCGGTTCAGACCTAACTGCAGGCTGTGACCCTCCGCACAACAGCGGAAACCACCGACCTCCCCACAGGTCACCCTCCCCGCAGAGGAGGACCGGGGGTCACCCCGTAGTGGGCTACCTGGGGCCCGCCCAGCACCCTCCAGGCCGTGCCATTGGAGCCCGGGGCGGGGCCGGGGAGGGACCTGGGGCGGGGCCTGGGGCGGAGCTTGGGCGGGGCCTGGGCGGGGCCTGGGGGCTCCCCCCCACCATTCACCTCCGCCTCGCTTCTGGAGAGTCGCCAAGGGTCCCGAAGGGTTGTGAGTGTTCCTGGGGTCCCCGAAGTCAGAATGCCTGGCCTTAAGACCCGAGTCCGCCTGAGTCCCAAGCCCTTCTTCCCACCCCAGGCTCACCGGAGAGGGGACACTAGCAGCCCACCGTGTCCCCGCATTGGAACCAAGCGTCCCTAACTTGGCGGGAAGTCCCCGTCTGTGTTCTGCCGCCCTCGGACATTTGAGAAAATACTCCTCCCCAGGGAGATTGAGGAGGGGTGCTTCTTGCTCTTGGGCTTGGAGAAGCCAAAGGCAGACGAAGAACCCGACAGGGCCAAAGAGGTGAAGCTCTGCGCAGTCCTCTGGCCTCGGAGCCCACCCCTAGCGCGTCCCTGTCAGGGGGGTAACATGACCCCACAGCAAGCTGAGGCCAGCGAGGGGCAGCCTGGACCGGGTCCCGCGTCCCTCCCTGCGCACTGGCTGCTCCGCGGGATCCAGGGCGCGCCGAGACGCCGAGGGCGCGGTGCGCCCGCTCCCGCGCCAGGTGACATCCCGGCCTCCTGGCTCCCGCCGCGCCCCCTCCCCTCGGCCGACTGCTCGGGGTTCGCAGCCAAGCCCCGTCCCCTGCTCCGGGTTCCGGCGAGGAATCTCCAGCCGCCGAGGAGTTTCCCGAATCTACTTTCTGCACGTTCCCTTCCCCTCYGCCCAGCCTGGCCGTGTGACCGTGGGCAAGTAGCTGCTGGCCTTGGACCCTCAACTCCTCGCCCCGTCTTAGGGACTGCAGAAGGAGAGCCTAGTCACCTACCGCCGTTCCCGGGCTCCTGCATGCTGCTGGTGGCCTCTCCCTCCCGCCAGCTCTGGGGCTGCGGGAGACTGGGGCGCGGTAGGCTGGGCACCCCACCTCCCTCCCTGCACAGGTCTTTCCCCCTTTCACTTTCTCTTTGCACCACGGGGCTTAGACCCAACCACCGCCCGCTGCCTCCCCTGCGGCGCCCACGTGCTTTAGGAGAAGCATCCTCAGGACACTCCAACTTGCAGTCCCCCAGGTCCTGCCTCCAGCCAGCTCCTGGAAATGACCAGCCCCTGCTGGGGAGAGGGCCTGGGTCTCGGGTGGGGAGCCAGGTGATCTGCAAGCCCTGGGCAGGCAGGGAGCCCATCCCCACCTCTGAGCGACTCTGTTTCTCTCCAGCTCAGCCCAACCATGAAAGTGGCAAACCACCCGTTCAGTCCGGCACACCCAGGACCCACTGAAGGGAGGGCTCACTCCTCCTGCCCCATGCCCTTGGGACGAGGAACCCAGCCCTGGACCTTCACTGTAGGGAAACCTGGCTCTGCCCTTCCTCCTCCCCAGGGCTTGGACTCCTGCTCTGCCGGGCATGAAACCTGGTGGGGGAATCACTTCCGCTCCCCAGGCTGCCGGTTCCTCATCTGGAATTGAGGGAGTGGGTCACGATGACCTTCAGTGGCATCTGACAGAACTGGGACGCTTGTCCCCAATCTCTGGGTTCAGAGCAAACCACATGTCTTAGGGGAGCCTGAGAAAAGGGGTCCCACCCCTCTTTACCCACATCAGCCAGGCCCATACTGTCACACTCATCTTATGGGGTTGATATAAGCTACTGGGCACCGGGCGAGACCCTCGGATTCTTTTCCACCACCCTATCCTCTGGGCTGTCCCCTTAGCCCACCTCCGAGGTGAGGAAAACTGAGACTCAGTTTAGCAGCCAGTTCAAGTTCACACCCCACCCAGCCGACAGCACAGCTAGGTGTCACGCCCCTGTGAGCCTCAGGGCTGTGCCAGGTCTCTGTGCTGTCTCTTCTCACCCGCTGTCCCCTGTCCCCCACTTCTGAAAGCCGCCATTTGGAAACGGGGGGGGGGGGAGAGGGCAGCAGCTGTCCCAGGTGCCCGGGGCTCTACAGCTGGTCACTGCCACTGCTGTGGTGACTAGCTGACTCCAGAGCTGCTTTTCCTGCTTCCCCAGGGACGGGGCGGAGTCAGCAGAGGTCTCCTGTTTACCTGAAGACAGGCCTGGCAGTGAGAGGACTTGGGGTGGCCTTGGCCAGCCAGGTCAGCAGGACTGAGAGCCAAGGACACACCTCCCTGAGAGGAGCCCTGACTCTATCACGTCCCAGGGATCCTAATGTCCCTCAGGAAGGACGTGGGTACTGTCCTCTTCCCTCCTGCCAACAGGCTGCTCGGCGGCACACGGAGCCCCCCTCTCACCCCCAGCCCACAGTTCAGAGTGGCATCTCCGCTCACCTGGGGCCTGGGATGGAGGACCCAGCTGAGACTCTATTCTAAATCAAGATGCACCCTCCACCCCTTTCCCTTTACCTTGGGGCTCYGGCAGGTGGGACCCTACAAGGTGCGGAGCCAGGCGACGCATGACGTGAGAAGCAGAGCCAGGCGAGGGGAGCCTGGAGGCCGGCAGAACTTCTCGGGGGCCTCAGTCTTCCCAGGGATGTCCCGGGATGTGCAGATCGGAAGCTGGCAGGCTCCTCGCCAGCCTGTCGCCCGCACCACTGGGAGCCTGGAGCCCAGAGCCCGCCAACCCTAACCCATAGCATGCAAAGGAAGCAAGCAAGGGACCAGCAGAAACTCTTCCCTGCAAGGTCGTCCCAAGCTGTCAGATTTCCTGTGTCTGGATGCCCTCTAATTTGCCCACGCTCCCTTAGGCCCGCCCCAGGCCTCTGATGTTAATTTCAGTTCCCTCTTGGACCCCAGGGGTGACCACAGAAGGTTGCAAGTTGTCTGTGAGGACCTCGAATGCTCTGACGTTCTGAGGCGCCTCTCAGAAAGCGCCCCACGGGTCCCCTGTCTGCCGTCTTCTGCAGGGTGGGGCCAAAGGAGGCAGCAGGACCAGCTGAGAGCTTCTGTCCAGCTGACGTCTGGACTCTGCTCCCTCCCGCCACCCCCTGTCAACCCAGGTGGCCCCRGGTTTCCCTGGAGGTCAGTAGCAGTCCACCCACCTTTTTTGTATAMTAGACACTGGACTAAAACACTGATTGTACACAAAAGGATGCTAACCCCAATATGGCTGGCTCGGGCCACCGGCTGGGGCGGCACCGACGGGGTGCCAGATCAGAGAGCACCTCTTCAAGGCTCTGCCCTCCTCCTGATGCACCAGGAGGAAGCCTCAGTCGGGGCTAATGTGTTCCTAGCACCTCTTCTAACGCAGGGTCCCCCCTTTCCACAGAGCCAAACCTCCAGCCTCCGCTCAGGAGGCAGAGGCAGGAGGATCGCAAGTTCGAAGCCAGCCTCAGCAACTTAGCAAAACCCCATCTCAAAATACAAAGTTTAAAAAGGGCTGAGGATGTAGTGCACCCCTGGGTTCCATCTCTAGTCTGAGAGAAAAAGAGAGGAGAGGAAGGAAATGAGTGAAAACCGCGAGTGGTTAGAAAAAGCACCGTCCAGTAAATACAACAGTGTAGGAGGCTGGCAGAAAAGGGACTCGCTGTGAGGCCAGGACCGGAATGAATGAAGGCTGGGAGCCGGTGACTTACTGGCTGGTTACCGAAAGAGCTTTGCTACTAGCACGTGTGTGACACTCCTGGCTTCCCTTCTGAGCTCTGGCTTCCCCGCAGGGGACATGAGGGTCAAGCCTGCTTTGGTGTGGTGTCATTTTGAAGCAGTCCTGCTCTCAGAAGTCCCAGAGGAGTGGGAGAGTCAACTTGAAACAGAGCCTTTGTTTGGCTGAAAGAGCAGCGCAGCCTGCCACCCCAGCGCCTCAGGAGGCYAAGGCAGGAGGACGGCAAGTTCAAGGCCAGCCTCATCAACTTGGTGAGGCCCTAAGTGACTCAGCAAGACCCCGTTTCAAAATCAGAATAGATACATAACAGGGGGCTGGTGGAGCACTCGCCTGGCACGTGTGAGGCGCAGCGTCGGATCCTCAGCACCACATAAAGAAATAAGTAACACGAAGGTGTTGTGTCCAACTACAACTGAAAGAGCACCCTTTTCTAGAAGGGGCCGAGGATGTGGCCCAGTGGTTAGGCCTCCTTGGTACCAAACCCCACCCCCAGATACAGGGAAAGTAGAAATTCTCAGAAGTCTACTCAGCTCCTTCCAGGACAAGGGGTCAAGGCAGAGGCACCGACGCTCTGCTGTCCCCGCCCTCAGGGGCCGCAGCTCGGATCCTGCCCACACCCCAGCCCCCGCCAAGGCCACTCGGAGCGGGCAGAACCTCGATGACCKCGACCTCTGCCACCCGGTGTCCCTACCTCCCCCCTGGCCCTCCAGAACCACACTCACCGAGATCCAGGTGCGAGGGTGCTGGGGGGAGGAGGTGCTGAGAAGGGGGCTCGGGGCCCTGACAGTCTCCCAGGACTGAGAGGATGGGGTGGACCCCGGGGCAGCCCAGGCCTCCTCTGTCAAAGCAGCTGCGGGCCTTCCTGCTGATGTCCCCTGAACACACAGCAGAGGCCACTCAGGGGTCTTAGCAGGAGCCTGCCGTGGGAGGACCCCAGCCCAGGTCTGCTGGACAGGGGCCAGTCCTCTCCCTGGGCGGGGTCTCCGCAGCTCTGTGGGAGCTGGCCTTGCTCGGGGGCTCCAGCCAAGCCAGGAGTCACCAGGCGGACACCACCAGCACTGGCCGCAGAAACACGGCCACGCTGCCCTGCTGGGTCCCCTGCCAAGTCCCAGGAAGAGATGGGGAGGCCCTGGATCCTCCAGGTGAAGAGGAGCGTTCCAGAAACGCAGTCCCCTCAGACAGAACCCGCTCTGCCCTGTCTTTGTACCACTGCCCACATGCCCTCCCGGAGCCCCCCTGAGGGCCCAAATGCCAGCTCTCCTTCAAGTCCAGTTCCACCCTTTATCACCCTCCCAGCTAACAGTGATCTCTGTCTCCTCCTCCCCATCCTCCTCCTCCCCATCCTCCTCCTCCTGCTCCTCCTCCTACTCCTCCATCTCCACCTCCTCTTCCTCCTCCTCCTCCTCCTCCTCCTCCTCTCCATCCTCCTCCTCCTCTCCATCCTCCTTCTCCTCTCCCTCCTCCTCCTCCTTCCCCTCCCCCTCCTTGTCCTCCTCCTCCTCCCCATCCTCCTCCTCCATCTCCTCCTCCTCTCCATCCTCCTCCCCATCCTCCTCCTCCCATCCTCCTCCTCATCCTTCCATCCTCCTCCTCCCCATCCTCCTCCTGCTCCTACTCCTCCTGGTCCTCCTCCTCCTTCTCCCATCCTCCCCATCCTCCTCCTCCCCATCCTCCTCTGGTTCCTTCTCCTCCTTCATCGTTTGTGGTGCTGGGGACTGACCCCAGGGGTGCTTTGCCACTGAGCCACACCCCCAGCCTTTTTAACTTTATTTTAATTTTGAAGACAGGGTCTCACTCAGTTAGGAGGCTGGCCTTGAACTTGGGATTCTCCTACCTCGGCCTCCGAGTCACTGGGGTGACAGGCATGCACCACCAAGCCGGCTGCTTTGTTTATTTTCACAAACTTGTTACACTATTTGGCCATAAATGGTGGAATCTCTACCCTGTAAGTATAGTCCCCGCCTCCATATTGTCGGGGACAAAGTCTTTTTGAGTTGTACCCAGCGGCTGTCACAGAGCCGAGCCCTTAAAACACACTCCTCTGGGGCAGTGTGTGTGTGGGATTCCAAGGGTGAAGGCAGCCTCACCTTCCAGAGGGAGGACGGGGTCTCCCGCGTAGGTGGTAAGTGCCTGACGCTGTGGGAACCGCGGTGATTCCCAGCAGGAGCTAAATCAATGACCCCAAAGCAGAGAGGGGGAAGGGGAGAGCAGAGATTGGAGGGACGTGGACAGAGAGGGTCAAACTGTCCGAATCAGACAATAGGGGGGGGGGGTGTCGGAACGCAGGCTCCCGGCGGTGCACACAGGGAAGTGAGGCGGCAGGCACCTAAGTTGTTACACACGCTCGTGCGCACACACACCTGGGATTAGGTGAGTTCAGGGTGGCCATCGACAGCTGGGGAGTGGCTGTGTGGGATGGAGATGGAGGTTCTAAAGGGTCAGCTGTGCAGCGCATCTGAGCAGGGGGCAGAGGAACCTGGAGCCAGGCGCAGGTGGGCGGTGCGTGGGCAGCTACCTTGGGGAGTAGGGGCCCAGGTGAGCCGCTGCAGGTAGGACCACAGGGAACAGAGAGGGACGGAGCCCGTGCAGACACCAGGCTGGTCAGGTAGGCAGGCTCGCAGGCTGGTGGGGAGCCCGGGAGGACGGGCCACTTCCCAGGCTTCTCCTGCGGGTCCAGGTGGGGAGTGGGGGGGGTTGGGGGGAGGGGACAGAGTCCTCCTGGGAGCACACCTCCTTCCAGGCACAGGAGCCCAGCTGGGGGCAGAGGCTGCCTGGGGGGAGGGAGGGCCACGGGAGGAGGGAGACCTTCCTGCTGGCCACTGGCTGCCATCGCGAGGGCCGATGGGGAAGGGAGCTGAGGGAGGAGCCCAGCAGAGCTGAGTGGTCCCTCCTTTCCAATAAACCAGGCCCATCCTAGCGGAGCTGGTGTCCTGTGGCTCCTAGAACAGTTTACAGAGTCCAGGGAACCGTGACACCAAGGACTCTGGCTGGGCTGTCCCTCGGCCTGGGGACAGCAGGCCACAGAGGGCACAGGGGCTCCCCGTCCACTGACTGACCAGGGGGCTGGGCTGCGGGCACCTCGGGGGCTGCCCCAGAGGCCGCTGAGTCAGCACACACAGCTGGACCATGTCCCTGGGCCCTCAGAAGAGCCACTGTGGACAGTCCTCACCTCCATTTACAGATGGGAAAACTGAGGCCCCAGGAACCGCGGCCAGTGCCTGAGACTCAGGGAGCCAGTGCGGGCCACCCCGCTGCTTGGTCAGCACGCCTCGCGGAGACTCCCTGCAGCCACGTGGACTCCAGGCTTGAGGTGCACGGCGTCCCAGCAAGCAGCCTGTGGCAGGAGTCCAGAGACCCCCTGCAGAGTGCTGTTGGCTCAGCACCACTGGCCTGGTCTGCTGCCCCTATTCAACGCCCCTTGCTCTTCTCTTCCTTAGAGTGGTCTGGGGTTGGTTTAGCGTTACCCATCTATAGCACTCCCATTTCAGAGATGAAGAGACTGAGGTTCAGAGTGGCCCAGTCATGTGGCCAAGGTCACAGGGTTTGCAGCGGAGCACGACCTGAGGCCCTGAACGGTCCTGCTTCCAGCCTGGTCCTTTCCCCAGCCACACAGCTCTCCCTTCCCTGGCGCCCGATCGCCCTTCCGGGTGTGTCACCTGTGGTTGATGGATACACCCTGAAGCACACTGGGCTCCTTCAGGACCAGGACTGTGGCTCCCAGGCCTCGGGGGCCTTCGTGGGCTCTGAGTGGCCGGACCTCAGGGCCCAGTGGCCTGGCAGCAGAGGCGCCGGGCTCTCTGGGGGCACCTCTGAGCCACCGGCCAGTCCTGTCTGAAGCTGGYGCACTGCTCTGGTGG